GCTGATCAATAGTTGCATAAAGCTTATCGATAACTTATTTAGTGGTCAACATATGGACTAGGGATTCTCGATATTGGCTTTTCTGCCGATATCCGATATTCCGATATTGTCCAACTCTCAATTTCCGATACCGATATCACCCGATACCGATATCACCCGATACCGATATCACCCGAACCGATATCACCTGAACCAATATCACCCAATACCGATATCACCCGAACCGATATCACCCGAACCAATATCACCCAATACCGATATCACCCGATACCGATATCACCCGAACCGATATCACCCGAACCGATATCACCCAATACCGATATCACCCGAACCGATATCACCCGATACCGATATCTGCAGGCTTTTTACACCAAAACTGTAACAACATAACAACATTACATATCTCCTATTGTGGAATTAACACATTGTGACTCATTTTATTGTGATGCCCCACTGGATGCATACATAAATGCAACATGGCTTTCCAAATGTAAACACTGTCTGTGCAAAATAAGAGAACAACTTCAACTTTCATTGTATTAATACTGAAAAGAGCGCTAACGCTAATCGCTAGCTACGTGCTAAACGCTAGCTACGCGCTAGCTTTGGTTAATGTGTTTAATTGTATTATTCACCTGAAGGAGTGCTAATGTAAATTCTAAGCCAATTGTTAGTTTGGTTAAGGAACAGCTCATAGCAGGGTCAAATATTTAAGGTGCATTGCATTTATTTTTGTGTTAATATTAAAATCATTCAGCAGTGGGGGCAGGCCCGTCCTGCACTTGGACAAAGTGAACAAATGTGTCCTCATAAAGACCTGGAACACACCCACTAGGGGGCGCCACTAATGCAAACACTGGACTTAAAACTCACATTTGACATCTTCTCCTGAACCAGACTGCATCTCATTCACATCCTGAAATCAACAATCAAAAGAAGAAATAATATGTTTGTATTTATTAATTCTTAATCCAAAACTCTTTTTACTGAGCACTTACGTTTCACATACGTTACACACAGGTAGCTGATATCAGAATACAACAACAGTAAGGATGCTGTTAGTAATCTCTAACTTTGTTGTTGTTGTTGTCTGTATTTTTCTCTGTAAGACAACAACCATTAATAAGTCTCTGATACATGAAATTATACATATTATACTTGATATTATTTACATCTTTAATGAGGTCATATGTGCTTCAGTAAAACCACCTCAGTGACCTCAGGGTCCCTGCTGTCTGCTGGTCCACAGTCCGCTGTGGTCTCAGAGAGTCCAGGATGAAACCAGGTTCACTTTGTGTTTGTGAATCCAGCAGCCGGTTGTCAGGCAGCGAACTGACACCAGAGGAAAACAGCAAAATCCCCCAAAGAGACGCAGAGAGACGACTAATGAGACGCTGTTAGAGACGGAGACACAGAGCAGCTCAGGTGTGTCTCTGCTCCACATTTACTGACAGAAAACACCCAGAAACCAGCACGAGTACTTGTCCTGTCCCTCTCAACTGGTACTGCACTGGACCTGGACTGGACCTGGACTGGACCTGGACTGGACCCTGAGGACAGCCAGAGATGCTGATTGGTTGAGGAGTTTATTTTGTCTTTGTAGACTTTGATGGACGGACAGAGAGACAGGACGGCTCATTGATCGCCACCAGCTACAGGTCGGTACAAACCAGTCACATACTGGTTTCACTGGTTGATCCTTCATGTGAGTAAAAGTGTCATCAGTGATATTAATAATGATTAATAATAATTCCATATTGAGTCTGATGAACTGAATAATTTTATACAAATCTTTTTCCATTTTAAATCAGAAAACTTTTCTTTTTCTTTGTTTTTTACTCATTTCCTTTCTTTCATCTGCGTTTTTGTCTAATTTCTTTCATATGTATTTTATTTTCTTTACGATAGCAAATGTCAGCTGTTGCAATGTTCACATAAAAATATAGCAAGGATCATTTGTGAAATCACATTTAATTTTTATACCGAATATTGACGTTCAACTGTCAGATCAGAGTGTTTTGACTGTGTACATCATATTAAATATATTTAATTTATAATACTGGCTCATTTAAACAGATCTCTTACAGTCTCTCAACACAGCCTGTAACAGACCAGCTGCAGCTCAAACCTGCTCCCCTGGACTGCAAGTAATGCAAGAGCAAACACCTCTTCTTGTATTTATTTTAATTTTATTATATATTGTTTATTTTAGTATATTTCTAATTATTTAATTTAATTTTGTATCAGGGATCATTAATATTTTATATGGGGGACCAATTGGGACAATTACCCATTAAATAAATGAATGCACCAAAAATAATCAAAATTAAAGCTGCAAGCAGTGTTGGGCAGGACCTCCCACTCCACGCAACTCGGGGCGTGCTGCGGCCGCGTCATGTGCTGTCGTAATACGTGCAGACCACAACATGAACATTTCACATAAATCGGCTCAAAATCGCAACGCAGCACTTACTTCCTGTTGCCAGTAGGTGGCGCTATCACTATGTCTGAATATTGTTATGTAGATGTGTTCAGGGCGGGACTCTTATCAGACAAGTGAAGTTTGGAGCCGATTGGACAATGTCTACTAAAGTTATTGCGAAATCGTGTTTTGTGGCGAAACATCAAAATTTGCTGCCACGCCCCGTCAACGCAGTCAACACATATCAACAATGTGTTTTGCATTTTATAAGTACATTTTAGGTGGATCTGATCATCCTGCTATTAGTAGAACATGAAAGTATAAAACGTGATACTTCCTGTTGCCACTAGGTGGCGCTATCAATATTACTGAATATTATCACATAGGCATGTTCAAGGCGAGACTGTTATCACACAAGTGAAGGTTGGAGCCGATTGGACAATGTACACTCAAGTTATTTTAAATTTGTGTTTTGTAGCGGTACATCAAAATTTCCCGCCACGCTATAGACACGCCCACTCACCGCAGTCAACACATATCATCAACAATGTGTTTTGCATTTTATAAGTACATTTCAGCTGGATCTGATCATCCTGCTAGTAGTAGAACATGAAAGTATAAAACGTGATACTTCCTGTTGCCACTAGGTGGCACTTTCACTATTTCTGAATATTATCACATAGACGTGTTCAAGGTGGGACTCTCATCAGACATGTGAAGTTTGGAGCCGATTGGACAATGTACACTCAAGTTATAGCAACCACAATAAGAACTCACCACAATCAAGAAATATCATCAACAACATGTTTTGCATTTCCTGACTAGATTTCAGCTTGATCTGATCATCCTACTAGGAGTAGAACATGGAAGTATTAGAAATGACATTTCCTTTCACCACTAGGTGGCACTTTCACTTTTACTGAATATTATCACATAGACGTGTTCAGGGCGGGACTCAGACGTGAAGTTTCATTGAGATCAGTTCATGTATGCAGAAGTTATGACAAATCCCTCTTTCATGGCGAATCGTTAAAATTCCACGCCACGGGACGGGCACGCCGTTTGACTGAATAACGTATATAGCACAACTATTAATGGTGAATGTGTTTAAATGGCTGTGTCAAAATCTGAAGTCGATCCAATCAATTCCCTAGGAGGAGTTCGTTCAAATACAACGTGTGCAAATCGCCAAAAATTGCCACAAAATCCAAAATGGCCGACTTCCTGTTGGGTTTGAGGTATGGGTCCTTGAGACTTTTCTGCTTCTTTTATCATGATACACATGCGTACCAATTTTTGTACATGTTGGCCTTACGTGTCTTGGGGGCTGATTCTGGGGGGCGTGGCTTAGCCGCTTAGCGGCGCCCATGCACGGGGACGGTTGCTTACCAGTTCGATACGTTTGAATTTTGTGCAAATTTTCAAGACTTTTCGAGTATGGTAAGGCCGCCAAATATGCGGTGAAAGGGGCAGAAGTATAATAATAATTCCTAGTGAAACAAGACGGACGTTGCACTTTTGTCAGTGCTCGGTCCCTAATAAATGTAGCATTGATTAATTAAGAAATGTAACAACTGGCCCTACTAAGAGTATAGCATCTAAAAAAAAGCACACACATCTTGTTTACTGGTTTGAGTCGGTTGTTCACTGGTTTCAGTCGGTTGTTCACTGGTTTCAGTAGGTTGTTCACTGGTTTCAGTAGGTTGTTCACTGGTTTCAGTAGGTTATTCACTGGTTTCAGTAGGTTATTCACTGGTTCCAGTAGGTTATTCACTGGTTTCAGTAGGTTGTTCACTGGTTTCAGTAGGTTGTTCACTGGTTCCAGTAGGTTATTCACTGGTTTCAGTAGGTTGTTCACTGGTTCCAGTAGGTTATTCACTGGTTTCAGTCGGTTGTTCACTGGTTTCAGTAGGTTGTTCACTGGTTCCAGTAGGTTATTCACTGGTTTCAGTCGGTTGTTCACTGGTTTCAGTAGGTTATTCACTGGTTTCAGTAGGTTGTTCACTGGTTCCAGTAGGTTATTCACTGGTTCCAGTAGGTTGTTCACTGGTTCCAGTAGGTTGTTCACTGGTTCCAGTAGGTTGTTCACTAGTTCCAGTAGGTTGTTCACTGGTTTCAGTAGGTTGTTCACTGGTTTTAGTGGGTTGTAAACTGGTTTCAGTAGGTTATTTACTGGTTTCAGTAGGTTGTTCACTGGTTCCTGTGGGTTCAGTGAGCTATTCACTGGTTTCAGTAGGATATTTACTGGTTTCTGTGTTTCCAGTTGAGATGGGCTGTCTGGGAGGGAAGACGGAGGAAGAACGACTGGATGAAAAAGCGAAGAGAGAAGCCAACAAGAAGATCGAGAGACAGCTGCAGAAAGAGAGACAGGCATATAAAGCAACACACAGACTGTTACTGCTGGGTGAGACACTTGTCTGTCTGTCTTTATGTCTGTCCCACCTGTCTGTCCGTCTCACCTGTCTCTGTCAATCTGTCTGCAGGTGCGGGAGAATCAGGTAAAAGCACCATTGTGAAGCAGATGAGGATTCTTCATGTAGACGGTTTTAACCCTGAGTGAGTCACACTTTATTTTGAAATGTTGCTACTTCCTGTGCAGTTTAAAGTCTCATTAACCACATAAACATTTTCTTCATGGTAGGATATAATATCTGATCAATAAAATGCAATGAACAAAGTATAATAATTCTATTTATGATGTTTAAACTAATTTCATGAATTAGGAGACAAAGATCTTATAGTTATTCAACTCTGATTCTCCGGTCTGTATCAATCAGCCAATCACAGCTCCGGTCTGTATCAATCAGCCAATCACAGCTCCGGTCTGTATCAATCAGCCAATCACAGCTATCTAGCTAGCTGAGGGTCACCTACTCACGCTGGGGTCTACTACCTAATATTACATATATAAGATTTGGTATATAATCAATAAACTATATATATAGAAAACACAATGACATCATACAAACAAATGTTTCCGACCTTGTTTAAATCGTTTTTAGCGGCTGAAAGAATAAAACAAATAAATCAATAAAATGTTTGTTTTCAGAGAGAAACAGCAGAAGGCTCAGGAGATCAGGAAGAATGTGAAGGACGCCATCGTGGTAGGTCACATGATCTCAGTCAAATGATCTCAGTCACATGACCTCAGTCATATGACCCAGTGACTGTGTGTGTGTGTGTGTGTGTGTGTGTGTGTGTGTGTGTGTGTGTGTGTGTGTGTGTGTGTGTGTGTGTGTGTTTTTCAGGCCATCGTGTCGGCCATGAGTATGTTGACTCCGCCAGTTCCTCTGGGTAACCCTGGCAACCAGTTCAGAGTTGACTACATCAAGAACATCGCACCACTGTCTGACTTCGATTACACAGAGGTAACACACACACTGTAACACACACACACACACACACACACACACTGTAACACACACACACACACACACACACACTGTAACACACACACACACACATACACTGTAACACACACACTGTAACACACACACACACTGTAACACACACACACACACACATACACTGTAACACACACACTGTAACACACACACACTGTAACACACACACACACTGTAACACACACTGTAACACACACACACTGTAACACACACACTGTAACACACACACTGTAACACACACTGTAACACACACTGTAACACACACACACTGTAACACACACTGTAACACACACACACACACACACACACACACACACACACACACACACACACATACTCACTATCAGTGTTTTATATATCTGACAATGGTGAAAGTAAATCAATAAACATTCTATTCCACATTAGTGATTGATTGGTTGGTTGGTTGGTTGGTTGGTTGGTTGGTTGGTTGGTTGATTGATTGATTGATTGATTGATTGATTGATTGATTGATTGATTGATTGATTGGTAGTTTGAACCTGAGGAAGCTCCTAATGAACACAGTGAGCTCACTGACTGCCATTAATAATCAATATAAACATTCATTCATAAAATTATATTTATGTCTATTTTTATTCCCAGTCAATGTATTCATTTGTTTATTTATTTATTGACATTATATTTATATTATTTATGAATGCATAATGGAGCAGAAATAATAGTAAACTAACAGTCGGCCATGTTGGGAGAGCTGGAGCTGTTAGCATTAGCAGTGATGCTAACAGCTCACCTGTAGTCTGATCTGTGTTCCTTTAAAGCAGCACCGAGGGACTCGTTTAAGAGCTTGTTTGTTTTAATGATGTTAATGACATGATGTAACGAGTTAATGTGGGACGGAAAGCACACACACACACACACACACACACACACACCTGACTGTGTGTCACCTGAGGCCTCATTATCCAAACGTCTTCAGTCTCTAAAGACACAAAGAGACAAAACAAGCGTCTTCCTGTGTCGCCTCTAAACTGTGACGCTGCTGCTGGTTGGGCGACTGGATACACACACACACACACACACACACACACACACACACACACACACACACACACACACACACACACACTTTAAAGTCAGTGCTGTCCAATCAGACATCACACAGAACTACAGAATTACTCACTTGTACATTTAATTTCTTATTATTTCATTTATTATATGTGTTATTATTATTTAATTAAAAATAAACTAATAAATAACCATCCATTGATCAGCCCTAACACAGTGAGCACTGTCAGTAACACTGATTATCTGGGTATCAGGGATCCTCTGATCCAACAGATGAGCTACTGTAGCTCAGACTGCTGAAACAGTTAATGCTGGTTCTGATAGAAAGGGCTCAGAACACACAGTGCAGAGCAGTCTGCTGGTCTGGGACCAGTCAGGGAGTCCAGTGCCCACAGTGTTACTGCTGATCAATTTATCAGTCTATATACTGTTAGTGATCAATATATCAGTCTATGTACTGTTAGTACTGATCAATATATCAGTCTATATAATGACAGTGTATATAATGACAGTGTATATAATGACAGTGTATATAATGACTATGTGTATAATGACTGTATATATAATGACAGTATATATAATGACAGTATATATAGTGACAGTGTATATAATGACTGTGTATAATGACAGTATATATAATGACTATGTGTATAATGACTGTATATATAATGACAGTATATATAATGACAGTGTATATAATGACTGCATATATAATGACTGTATATAATGACTGTATATATAATGACAGTGTATATAATGACAGTATATATAGTGACAGTGTATATAATGACAGTATATATAATGACTGTGTATAATGACAGTATATATAATGACTATGTGTATAATGACTGTATATATAATGACAGTATATATAATGACAGTGTATATAATGACAGTGTATATAATGACTGTGTATAATGACAGTATATATAATGACTATGTGTATAATGACTGTATATATAATGACAGTATATATAATGACAGTGTATATAATGACTGCATATATAATGACTGTATATAATGACTGTATATATAATGACAGTGTATATAATGACTGCGTATATAATGACAGTGTATATAATGACTGTATATATAATGACTGCATATATAATGACAGTGTATATAATGACTGCGTATATAATGACAGTGTATATAATGACTGCGTATATAATGACAGTGTATATAATGACTGTATATATAATGACTATGTATATATAACGACAGTGTATATAATGACTGTATATATAATGACAGTGTATATAATGACAGTGTATATAATGACTGCGTATATAATGACAGTGTATATAATGACTCTATATATAATGACAGTGTATATAATGACAGTGTATATAATGACAGAAAAAAAAACAAAAAACTTCCCTCTCACCCTCTTGGGGTGGTATCTGTGTCATCCTCAAGCTCGGGTCCTCTACCAGAGGCCTGGGAGTTTGAGGGTTCTGCGCAGTATCTAGCTGTTCCTAGGACTGCGCTCTTCTGGACTGAGGCTTCTGATGTTGTTCCTGGGATCTGTTGGAGCCACTCCCCCAGTTTGGGAGTCACTGCCCCGAGTGCTCCTACTACCATGGGGATCACGCTCGCCTTGACCTTCCACATCTGCTCCAGCTGTTCTTTCAACCCTTGGTACTTTTCAACCTTTTCGTGTTCCTTCTTTCTGATGTTGGCGTCTGCTGGTATGGCCACATCTATCACCACCGCCTTCTTCTGCTCCTTGTCTACCACCACTATGTCCGGTTGGTTGGCCAGGACCTGTTTGTCAGTCTGGAAGCTGAAGTCCCACAGCACCTTGGCCCTGTTGTTCTCAGCCACCTTCTGTGGTGCGGCCCATTGGGATTTGGGTACTTCTATTCCATACTGGGTACAGATGTTCCTGTACACTATTCCAGCCACTTGGTTGTGTCTCTCCATGTACGCTGAACCGGCTAGCATCTTACACCCTGCTACTATGTGCTGGACTGTCTCAGGGGCATCTTTGCATAGTCTGAACCTTGGGTCAGATCTACTCTTGTAGATCTTGGCCTCTATGGCTCTTGTACCTAGGGCCTGTTCTTGTGCTGCCATGAGCAGTGTCTCTGTGCTGTCTCTGAGTCCAGCCTTTTCCAGCCATTGGTAGGTCTTCTCCATATCAGCCACTTCTTCAATTTGGCGGTGGTACGTGCCATGTAGGGGCTTGTCCCTCCAGGTTATCTGCTCCTCTTCCTCTGCACTCTTATCGGGTTTCTGTTGCCTGAGACATTCACTTAGCAGTTAGTGTATGTATGTAGTATGTTGAAGAGTTTGGTCTAGACCTGCTCTATTTGAAAAGTGTCCTGAGATAACTTCTGTTATGAATTGGCGCTATACAAATAAAATTGAATTGAATTGAATTGAATCCTTTGTGGCCATTTTTCTGATGTACTCTTGGATTTTTGATGGTGAAGAACTTTCTTGTCTTGATATCTGTGGCTTCTATCTCCTCCTTTGGCCAGCTTATGATCCCAGCAGGGTATCTGATGACTGGTAGTGCGTACATGTTGATGGCTTGGATCTTCTTCCTGCCATTCAGCTGACTTTTCAGGACCTGTCTTACTCTCTGGAGGTATTTGGTTGTGGTTGACTTCCTTGCGGCTTCCTCATGGTTTCCATTAGCCTGTGGGATACCAAGGTACTTGTAGCTGTCTTGGATATCACCTATGTTGCCCTCTGGTAGGTCAACCCCTTCAGTTCTGATCATCTTGCCTCTCTTTGAGACCATCCGGCCGCACTTGTCCAATCCGAATGACATCCCTATGTCGTTGCTGTAGATCCTGGTGGTGTGGATCAGTGAGTCCATTTCTCGCTCATTCCTGGCGTACAGCTTGATGTCATCCATGTAGAGCAGGTGGCTAATTGTTGCTCCACTTCGGAATTGGTACCCGTAACCACTCTTTGTGATGATCTGACTGAGGGGGTTAAGGCCTATGCAGAACAGCAGTGGTGATAGCGCATCTCCTTGGTATGTGCCGCATTTGATGTTGACTTGGGCAATTGGCTTTGAGTCGGCTTCTAGGGTTGTCTTCCACATTCCCATTGAGTTCTGGATGAAGGCCCTTAGGTTCCTGTTGATCTTATACAGTTCCAGACATTCCAGTAT